CGTGATGAAATGTCCACCGGTTTCTTAGCGCGAGCGGAACAGTCATTTGGTGCTTGTGTTCAAGTAGCTGTGAGAGCTATACGGGAAACTCCTGGATTCCGCAGCCTAGCATGGAAAACAGCTGCCGATGCTATTTTCCATCTTTCAAGGCGAACGTCTTTCGTCGATGCAGTCAATGTCCGAGCACTTCTTGAAGACGTAGCGTCTCTAATCACCAGCAATATCAGTGAACGTCTGTCAGGTCTTCTAGTTCTACCATCTCTCGAAGGCGATTCTCCTGTTGGTGGTCGTCAAGCTCTCGAGGTTGCCATAATGGCCTACGACTATCGAATCTCACTCGGTTCCGGAGAATCGATGACAGGAAGCTCGTGGTACGATCTAGGCGTTGCTTTGAACTGCTGGTCGAGTCAAACAACTTCAAGGGAGGATCATGAGCGTGCGAAGAAGCAGGCAACAGAATGCTTGATGAACGCATTGCGTGAGGATGCTGGGAATGACATTTTTTGGAACGCCCTAGGCAGCATTAACTTTGTGGCGCAGCCGAAAACGGCACAGCATGCTTATATCAAGGCTTTGGAGATTGATAGTAAGGTTAGTGTTATAGTCTCTTCAATTAAATTACTGTGCCCTGACAGCCCCCAAGAGCGTCGTTTCATGGACAAACATTGGACTACTGTACCTTTACCACAACGATCTGCAACTGGCGAATGAAGCATTATACAGAGCCCAGACTCTTGATCCTGATTATACCTTAGCCTGGGTTGGTCAAGGGCTGGTCGCCTCTGCCAATGGGCATGGCACTGATGCAAGAGCCATGTTCGAGCATGCCGTGGGCCTGACCGCCGACATAGTAAGTCACACACTTCATCTTCTTTGCTTATTCCGTCTGATTTTTTTGGCTTTCGTGAAGCCAGAAGCCAATTTGGAATATGCCTCGCAAATTTTTTCAAGTCTATCACATATATCTTACGGCCGCCCTGCTTCCTATGATGCCATCTGTCCTGCCTTCTTCGTTCTTGACCGATACAGTAAACAACGTCCAGACGATGCCACAGGCTTGCACCTATTCGGTCTGGTCTGTGAACGCCTTGGGCAAATCAATCTCGGCGTGGACCTTATCCAACGGGCTATATCCATTCTCGAAGCTATCTACGAAGAGACAGAAGATCCTCTGGTGGAGCAACATTTCACAATGGCTAATTCCAATCTTGCGAGACTAAAGCTGTCTGCACTTAATTACGATGGTGCTCTAGAGTCTTTCGAGAGTGTTTTGGGTTTGCTTCCCGAGGATTCTTCTTCCTCTCCTGACCTCATCCTCCGGGCCCAAGCCCAATTCGGGTCAGGGCTAGCACAGTTTAAACTGGGCAATTTGGAAGAGGCGTTATCATTGTTGGAAGCTGCGCTCGAGAGTGCTGGAGATAATATGCTCGTCAGGGGACAAGTCACCGTTCTTCTTGCTCAGACCATGTGGGCTATCGGGACGGATGAGTTCAAAGAGAGTGCTAAGGCTCAATTGCTTGAATGGTACGCCTGTTCCACTTCCTCCTGTCTGGTCTCAATGCTCATGTCTTCCATCAGTATCACCACTGATCCGGAGAATCTAACTGCCATCAATGCCCTGACTGGGATGGGAATTTTAACTGATGACGATAGCCTAATAGATGCTGCACTCTCCGAGATCCTCTCACTGCCAGTCGAGAGGAGACACCAGCTTGATCCTCGCAGGGATGTAGATTATCTGCTGATACAGCATCATCTCGGACAGGTAAGCTGACCTTCATACTTGCCCTACCGATTGCATATCATTCTGACATGGAACATCATTCCAAAGGGCGATACGGCGCAAGCACTGTCAGTAGCCCAACACGCAATGTTCACCGAACCTTCCCTCCCATCACCCAAACGCACACTTGCTTATCTCGCCCTACAACAAGGCCAGCACGACTCAGCGTTGGCTGTCCTCGCTTCGCAGACCGAAGACAACTTGGTGGATGTGCGCGATTCTTTAGCTTTACGGGCGGTGGCCGAATCCATAAACGAAAGGAGGGCACAAGCACAAGGAGAGGCGGTAAAAAGCGCTCAGAAGGCTGTCATGTTGGCACCTTGGGAACTGCGCAATTGGCAAAGCTTAGCGTATGTACGATCGCGAAGCACAGAATAAACTCAAAAGACTTGTTGTATCATAAATATCAGACAGTGTATAACGTATGAAAGCTTGCACAATGAGATTCTAGTATGGAGTGAATAAATAATTTTCTATGTAATAATCCGGATTCAACGTGTGCCTCAAACATGATGACATAAAACGTCATGCGTTAGCCCTAGCCACGGCGAAAATCCTCCTGGCCACCTGATTAGCATCGTTCGACCCGGAGGATACGTCCATAAGCCACGCCTCTAGTTGTTTACGCCCTTGCTTATTACTGTAGTTCGTCGCGATTCTGTACAAGAAAAAGGCTCCATTAACACATCGCTTGATCAAGGACTAACTTGACGAAATTACTCACATCCCCCTCTCGTCAAGTGCTTTTCCAATACCTGCATCATCCAACATGCCCATGTCGTCTTTCGCAAGCAGCTCATCATCCTTAGCGATATGGCTCAAATGTCTATCAATCCGGTATAGCAGGATCGGCGCAGGACCCCACGTTGCCAATCTCAGCACTCCACAAACTGCCTCAGTGCAATCACTGCCCAATGCTCGGAGTGACTGTAAATCTACCATCGGCTCGTTGCCCCTTGTCTTCCCCGCTTGAACAATCCTAGCAAACGCCGCCCGTCTCGCACCAAACGTAGCCTGCTTCTCCATTGCCTTTTCCTCGATCCGTTTACGTTGGGAAGGCAATACAGTGGTGGAAGGTAGCATCCCGGGTACATAAATCGCTATTAGCGGGATTAGCTCTTCCATGAGTAAGACCACTACCATGAAAGGTATAAGCCTGCCAAAAATCATTAGCCTTAAGTTTATGTTGTGTAAGGAAAACAAAATACGCACTTCAACAAGTCCTGTTTATGCGTCCTCATAAATCGGTACTCGGCCCTTGATATTGGCTCGCCCCCTTCCTTCACTCTCAGCTTGATCTCGGCTACTTGGCGTCGATGTGTGTTGATCATTACGAGACCATTCCAGTAAAATTTCTATCTCGTTCCGTCCAGGATTCACTAGCCGCAATATTTGCACATAGAAAAGTATATGGTACGTACCAAAAGTTCTTTGGCGTGGTGTAGCAGCCGCCGGACCCGACCTGCATCCGCGGGTGGAGGGGCTAGAACCCCTTGTTCTTCGGCCTTTTTGATATCATGTCGAGCTTCTTCCACACTCCCAGCTATAGTGGGGGATGATGTGGTTGACGATGCCGCTGTGGATGGCTGGTCCGCAGATTCATCTGAAGGCTGTAGCTTAGACTTATCGATTCGTAGATTTGGCACTGCTTGAGAGGTAGGCACTGGTTCAGGCAGTGTCGTTTTGGCAATAATGGGCTTCACTGGCGCCGGCTTAAGGTCTACTTTCGGCTTTCGAGGTATCGAAACATTAGGCTCTGGAGGGATCGGTGCGGTTGATTTTGACGCGCTGGGATCTGATTTGATTTGTGGGGTAGTTGTTGCAAGAAGACGCGAGTGCGTGAAAGCCGCGGTTGTGGGTCTTAGTGCGAGGTGTGTATATTGTCCTCTTACGAGGAGGGTTTTATGGCGTCGAGCGGCTATTGAACTAAGAAAACAACTATTAACAAAATGAAGCCAAAAAGGTGTGATACTGACCGCTCCACGAAGCCATTTCGTCCAAGCGTACGAAGCATGCAAGTCTATAGAATTTCAAGTGCGAATAACACACTGAGTAGAGGCGTGAATGAGCGTGGTTAGAAGAAAATGCCAGTGGCGTGCGACTTCGATCATCCAGCGCCAGCATACAAGCCAATGCATCCCTCTACGCCCAGCATATTACAAGCCGACAGCACCTTAGAATGGACACAATTCGTGGTTGAGATGTCCAGAGATTTTAATCTGGTCAGTCGAGCTGCCGCACGCATGTTTTGATTTACTTGAAATTTCATCAACTGCACAAATACGTGTTCTACCTGACAATTGGGTTAGCAGGTAGCTCTTGCTCATTTTTTTTTCACCTTGATCACCTTGATCACCTTGATGAACTCGTCTGGATCCGTACTGACAGGTACTGACTTGCCAACAGTCACGCATTGTCCGCGTTTCTGGGCATGGAGGACAAGAAACGTGAATTTTTAGACGGTTGCAGCGGCTCCTGACGGTCGTACCTGGCCATGAAATGTAGACCTATTATATCAAATTGTCGTCCTCCCCAATTCTATAATCCCTTTTTTGAGCCGTTCAGATTTGGTCTCACAAGTATGGTATCCCGGCGCCATACATCGGGCTTTGGAGCATTCTCCTTTCGTCCCCTTCAGTCAGTTCTTTCTGTTTACATGCAATCGGGGGAGGGGAGAGAATAGCCTGCTGAAGCAGCAAAGCGTCTAACATCATGGCAATTTTGAACACACCCCTTCAACGCTGTAAATACTTACAGATAGGCCTTTGCGCATCTTGGATGTGCCACAGCTACTCTTGTGGCTCTATGAATTTCGTTCGCGAATGCATATTCGACAATTTGTGGACAAAAGTGCTGATCTAATATTACTTGCAGTTGTAAAAATAAGAAAAGCTATGCTTGAGGCGGAATATGAATATGAAGACCTATGGAAGACATATATAAATCATTCTAGGTGTATTGGCAGCTAGACGGATAGATACACATACTTAAGGGTGTCCCGGAATCAGAGTAAATAACACTAAAATAACAAGCTTACGATTTCTCTGTGGCGGAAAAAGGATAAATTTCCCCTGTTTTGGTCGGGGTCTGGTCACAGCCGGACAACATCGCGTACGGAAAAATTTTGGAGTCCAGGAAATTCTAGCTTTCACCTCCTATAAAATCAAATTTAAGTATCGCTGTCTTTATGAAGAACAATTCATAAACCTTCGTTCATGGCTTCCTGGTGTAAATGGTTATCACGTCAGTCTAACAACGTTCAATCCGTTCGTCTGCTCACTGAAGGTACTCGGATCGATCCCGGGGGAAGTCAATAGTTTTTGGAGCAATATATCGCGCATAGCGAGGGATCGACCCAGTCAGATGCAGGGTACAAACTCATAAAAACACGGCTATAACTTTCCTTATATCATGACAAAGCGAGGAAGTTGACTTAAAACTTTTAGCTGTAAAATGTATTCAAACAGTGCTCTTTGAATCACAATGCTTTTTGTCACTGTGGAGTCGTTTTTCCGTCAGAAAAGCAAATCGCGAGCACAGCCCCACGCACTTGTCAGGAATGCACTAATTTTTTCGTCTTCTAACGGAACATTCTACTTCTCGATAACAACATATCACATGTAATCTATTGAATTGGATTTGATTATATGCAGTTCATACTTTGCGGGGTCGCCGGCCTCACGACAGCAACCGAAATGCATAAACTTGATGGTTGCCAAATGCGGTCATAAAGTTACCTGTTATGGATGACATTGCATCCGCAACGTTGATGATAACGGCCCGTGTATTGTGCAGAACCTATCGACATAACAAGTAGCTCAACACCCCCTCCGGGACACTTTTAATTTGTAACCTCGGGTTTCAGTGCTGAGACCCACCGAGACAGATCGCCAAAGGACTTACAAGTCATTAATCCTCAACTTCTGACGCTGTTCGGCAGCGATTTTGTGGATGTGCAGAGTTCCATCTGGGTTCAAATATGAGCGCTTGGTGGTAGAGAACAGGTTTAATTAGACGCATCAGGCCAATTTTCATCAGCAGTAAGTTGTCACTGCTGTAGCAGGTATAGCAAAATAGGCCACGATTACGAGTCTCAGCCAGGTGCATCCATTCGGAGATCAGCATACTAGTGCCTGCATCTAAGCAGCATGCAATTTGATGTGGTTTATGCTAATCTGACGCAAATACAAATTTAGAGCCCTTGGCTGGATACGCGCCAACCTTGATCAGCGTCCAATAATATCGACTTCAATCCAACTTCGATCTCCTCTGCTTACAGAAAGGCAGAAAACCGAATCGACGTTCCAAATACCGATTACATAAGTACCGTTGCTGTGAGAAGAGAAAAATAATAGCGTTCTCGGCATCAATGTGCAAGTCCCCAACAGTTCTCACTTTGTCACGTGCCCCGCTTGCCCACAGAGTCTCAACTGCATTTGTTCTTTGCTTCGAGTTGCTCCGACATACACCATGGTACCAATTAAAAGTATGCAAAGTAGGATCTTCAGCAAACAACAGAAGCGCGCGCATCTTCCATGACTCAGAGCGGCTGCAACCGATTGATCGGAGTTCAACCCTCTCCTCATCGAGTAACAAGGGGATTTGGCCATCAAGATGGCGTGCAACCTCCGGGCATGAATGCAAGCCCCCCAGATGCTTCTGACAACGATGAAGAACGCATTTTATTCATCTGGATCGGGAAGGGACATGTAACGACGGGAATCGCATTTACACGGGATCCACAAGTATGTATATCCGTATATCGCTTGGCATTCTATATTCCGTCCCTACATGCATCTCATCTCGTGGAACAACTTTAGGTGGTACTGACTCGCAAACCCACAGAACTCGTCGTCATAGGATTGCCGTGATGTGCGACCGTACGCCCCGATACCACCTACACGTGTTAAAGCCTTGAGCTTCTGGACCATTTAGGATTCGCAGAAGACGCAGAAGGACACAGATGCTTTCCCAGAATTCAGAAAAACAGAAATCAATACTCCGAAGTCCGCGATTGCGGGGTTCTAAAGGGTCCAGTGATGTGCTCGGCAAAATGTACCTAGTCACTAGTGCACTTGGTCGGGATGATCATCTATCCGCCCATCGTTGCTGGCCATGGGCGTGTCAGGCGGTGGACCAGGGTGGTCACCCGAGACATTCCAGACAAAAGATATCTGCCAGTTGTTCAGGTATGTGCAATTTCGCGCATGTGATGCATGTGGAGAGGAGCGGCGATGACGTCGATAAGAGGTCGTCGAGTAGCAAAGACTGCAGCCGTGTGCTCGATCGGTAAGTCGCGTCGGCTAATTTGTAAGAGCCGTCAGATGCTCACACGACTGGGACGACCACATGGATACATTTGGACAATGTCTTTCTGCCATCATAATGGTGGACGAGAAAGTGGTACAGGTCACTCGGCCTCGATGGTTACCGGGAAAACAATAAATGCTACCTCCACTCTGCATCCGACTGTGTCAAGCTTCAGCGCAGGTGTTGTTGCCCATTTTAGGAACGAAGGTCGCGACAAGCTATCCGCGTGATCTATGATCTCTTCTGTTTTCGGCGCCTTTTATGGACCATATGGTTTCTTAAATAATGCTTAAATTACAATATTTGCACCAAAATGCCGGGCTGCAGGGTACTGTTCTGCATGCTATTTTCCATTAATATTCGCTTCCTTCAAGTCCTCGAGCCCCGGTCGTTCGCGCGCTTTCCCTCCCGCTGTGCGTCCTTTCAAGTTTGTGGTTTGGTCTTCATCGCATACAGCTTCTCGAGACATTCTCCCAAATGGAAGAAACAGCAAGGAGCGGGGAATTCGATGGCAACTACGGCGGCACGACCCGTTACGGGTCGACCGCGTCCTTGACTGGTGTGTACATTTCTATTTTCTTTCTTCTGCGCTCATGAATGAGCTATGACCCTGCAGCCAACGCAGCCCAGCCTGCCGCATCGCGCTTTTCTGAGGCTCATGGAACTACCAGTAGTGAGGAAAATGAGGCCGCCACCACTGGCGCGGCAGGAGGTGCTGCAGCTGGCCAACCGCAAGCATATAAACCTCCATTCTACCTCAGACCGTGGTTCATCGTCACCTCATTGGTTGTGGGAGCCCTTGGACTTGCTTTGCTTTTTATTATATTGTATCCAGTGGTCAAAGCGATCGCCCAACTCGTCGTTGATCGTTCGGTTCTTAATATTGATGTGGCTATGATCACAAGCCCTCAAAATGATTCGTGAGTTCCAACTTTATGGCGCAGCTCATAGCTAGAGATGATCGGCTATCAGATTCGCTTTAGGATTACAAGGCGTCGTAAGTCTTCGGATTAATTTTTTTTTTTGTAACTGAAAAACACAGGCTAATAGATCACACACACACCAGGTCACGCACACCGGTATTTTCGCCGCTTCGATCAAGTTTACTGAGATCATCAACATCACATGGAGAGAGGACGCTACTACGAACACACCCCTTGGGTACATGACCTTGAAAGAACTTTCGGCACACCACAAGCGTGCCTACGTTAACCAGACAACGCAATTCGTGATTCAGGATCAAGACGCTTTCGGTCGATTCGCAGCGCATTTGATCACAGCCGAAAATTTTACTTGGAACCTGAAAAGCGACAACCTCGTAGTACAAGCCGTCAAATTCCCTGTCGACCATGGAATCCATTTCAACAAGGATCTGACAATGCCCGGTACGGTGTATGCGGCATCTTTGTCGGTTCTCTGTATTGATATTGTATTTTAGGGATCAACAATTTCAATGGCAACGTTATATTGAAAGATTTACAGCTTCCGAGTGACAATCCTGAAGGTGGCATTAATTTCATAGCTACGACTGAGCTCAATAACCCAAGGTAATATTCGAATATGTCTGAGACAAGCGGACTTATTGAAAAAATTAATCTATGTAGTCCATTCCAGCTCGACCTGGGAACCGTCAATTTTGGTCTTTCCTACAACAGTATCTATCTTGGCCAAGGAACCGGCACAAATACAAAAATTGTTTGCAGATTTTCCCTGCTCGTCTCGTGTATGGCATTAACCCATATATCCAGGCTCCTGGTCCAAACGACATCACTCTAAGCGGTGTTTTGATACCTCAGTCTGGCGCACAAAATCTCTCGGAAATCTCCCAGCTGTTTACAAATTACATCAACGGTGACAATTCTCCCGTGATCGCGAAGGGGATATCGACTGTCCAGGATGATGGCACAGAGATCGCTTGGCTCAGTATAGCCCTTCAGAGCCTGATTCTTGACGTCCCGTTCAAGCCGCTAGCACCATTGAACCCAATTCGTACAATCAACATTGGCGAACTTGGTTTGACGTTCACAGAGGCAACTGCATGGTCGCCCTCTGCCGTCAGCAATTCGGTTCAGGCCTCGCTGGGTATGTCTTCTTGATATCTTCGTTCCGTGCCACTAGAAAATCACGATTTGCATTTTAGAGTTGCCTTTTGGATTTGGCTTGTCGATCTCCGAGATTCAGAACGACTTCAACATCTCTTCGAACGGTTCGATGGTTGCTGGTCTTTCTACTGTCAGCGACATCTTCTCTTTCCGCTTCATTTTTCTTTGCTCATTGTCTTGCATCTCACCGACAGCCCATCGGAGCTTCCCAGTCGGCCATTCAAGTCTTGAACTCGACCAGAACGACAGGCCAGATCAATATTACCATCGCGAACACTAGTTTGACTTGCCCGCTCGCCAGTCATCCTAACTTCGCAGCATTCAGTACGTACATAAACTAATCACGGTCATATGCAGGTGTTTCTGGTTTCATATTGATTTTGTATTACGCAGACGCAGAACTGACCGACAGTATGATGACTGAATTCCAATTGGCCGGTAATTCGAAGGCGGTTGCCAATATGAGCATCGGTCAAATCACTCTCGACCCAATCAGAGTCAACGTCACAACTGGTCTTTGGGGCTTAAAGGGTTTACAAGGCGGCCTTACGATAATTAAGAGCGTTGATGTAATGGGAGGCACGACGGATGCCATTACCCTCAACATCGACACTGGAATTTATAATCCTTCGAGCCTTGTGTTGACGACTGGAGACCTGACTTTACAGTTGTTCAGACAGAGTGCGGATCTAGGAACAGCACTTCTACCGAACCTTTCACTTGCTATGGGCAACAATACCGTAACAGCTATTGGCTCCTTTACACCGAATAACTCGCCTCTTGGGCAGCAGACGCTGAATGAATTCGTCGGCGGAAAAGATGTTAATCTGGATATTGCAGGCTATGATCAAAGCACTGGTGTCGCTTCGCTGCTGCAAGCATTCGAGACACTGAACATCAG